TCCCGAATTTAGTTTTCAATTAATTTAAAGTTAAATCACTATTCCAACCATATTTCGTACGAAAATTGCGAACTGTAACGGCCAAACCTTCATTATTTTTAAAATATTGCTCAACAGTAAAAACGTGCTGTTCTTTCGTGTAGCGCTACATTATTAATAACCCTGGCAACATTTTGCCGCACAAGTGACCCAAAATTCAAATCTAACGTGTATTTTGGGACAGCCGATACATGTAGAGAAATAATCAATAAATACCTTATTATCTTTTCAATTTACTCACTATGTATGAACTGAAAAAATATTTTAAGTCCTAGTCATAAAAAGGTGTTACTTTATACACTTGTTATAAATTACTATTTTAAATGGTTTGTCAGTTTGTTCTATCCCTAACCGAAATTTTGCCGTTTCTCTGCAGTTACTAATTAAAAAATGGAAAGAAGACGTAAAAAACTTTACTCCCCTTTTTTGTCACTAATCTCCTATTATAATTGTAAGTAATTACAGTTCCAAAATCCCCTACAAAAACACACACAGGAATTATATTAACTCGTAAATTTCCCGCAAAAACCAGCCCTAGTATGAGGTTTTACTAGGTTTCTTATTAAGTAGTCCCTAAAATCGAGGCAACAGCTAGACAATGGCTCGTAAATTCTCATCCAATACCTAACTTGACCCTTCCCTCGTCGAAAATAAAATATGGGCCATTTCGTTTACCATAACTATCAAGCAAGGGCAAGATTCTCAACCATCTGTAACTGCAGCAACCATTTTATACGTATTATCTTTATTTTATATGCAGTTGTACAATTACATAACTGCATTTAAATTGTTGCTTACTTTATTTTATATAATTTTTAAATAATATAATGAATAAAAAATCAGCATACGAGTTACTCTCTAAAGATTAATATTATAACTACAAGGGATTGATATTTGGATTGCTTTAAGCTAGGAATCCTTAATGAGTCAAGAATCTAAAGCCACTGATTTTAAAGAAACAATGTATTGCTCCTAAAAAAATCATATTTATTCAAATATCTCCAAGTGCATTTCTTCGAAGGGTTAATAGAAGACCTGAAGCTACCTAAAGCAATATGTGTTTCAGAAAGTTAATCAAGGATTATTACGAAAACTTAGAGGCTTTAGTAATGGCACGCATGCCAGATAATTTTCGCTCCTTCTTGGATATTTTATTAGCTCGTAAAAATAATTTCGAGATCTAAAAATACTAGTAAGTAATTTATTTCTTTTATTTTCTTAATTAATTTTACTCCCAGCGATGGGTGTTTGAATACTTCCAATTGAGGGCTCCTAAAAAAAGCGTTTTAAAGTAAAAAAATCTACTGACAAAAAAAGTTGCGTTCAAAATTTTCTGTTTTTTTTTATTTGATAATTTTTGAGTATATTACAAAGGATTTCTCAGAGGAGAAAAAATTAAAAAGAAAAACATTGAAGGTAGTACAGAGAATTAAAAAATATATATAGAAGGAAAAGGAGAGAACATAAATAATTCAAATGAACATAGTAAGGAAAAACTGAAAAAGATAGTCAGACAAAAAGTTAATACTTAACCACATGCATTCTAAAATTTTTCATTTCCAGTACAGGATTCATATGTACACCTGAAAAGCATAATTTTTGAGATTATTTTACATATTTTCCAATTCAACCACATAGAATCTTGGCAAATGTACTAAATAAGTTAATTAAAATAGTTATTTTTGTATCTAGAACGCGAAATGGTACTTTTGCGCTCAAGAATGGAAGTTAACCAAGTCAACAAAATAAAGAATGTGCCAAAAATATAGCAACTTATCTCAATTTGCCTCATCCGGAAACTTATACAGGCCACTGCTTTAGATGTTTTTCCGCCACTCTGTTAGCTGACGCAGAAGCCGATATTACCACCATTAAACCACATGGGGGATCGCGTTCTAGTACGGTAGCGGAGACATATACAGAAAATTCTATACAGGGTGATTCACAACTTATCAAAAAAAAATTGGGAATAGAAGCGGCATGAGAAATGGAATCAATAACGTAAATTTTTTTTTAAATCCTTATAGTTTACGAGAAAAAAATTATTGAAGTTATAGTACATTCAACCACTACATAGCTGGATAACTGTAGTCTCTAACTATCGTCGTTGCGATATTGTTTACCTGTTATCTGTGGTGTTTACAATAGTTTTTTCGTAGTTAGTGTCAAAAATGGTTTGCGTGTATAGCAATTCGGAATTGATGGATATCGTTTTAATTTATGGTGAAGCAAGACAACATTTGTATTATGGTGAAGCATTTGTATTATGGTGAAGCAAGACAACATTTGTGTTAATTCGTATAAACTTAGTAAGACGGACCCAAATATGTTTACACGTTGGTGGATAAAATTTTGTACGATTGTTGTTGTAACATCGGGTATGTCAAATGATTTTATTATTTAAAAACACAAATTAATTTTATTAATTAATAAAGGCAAAAGCAGTTGAATTTGCCGATATAAAATAGGTGCTATAAAGTTCTATTTATTTTTTTCCTTGCGAAAGTTTTTGCCCGTTTTTATCATACCGCCATGCCGGTTGCATTGTGCGACGTCAGGTTTACAGTGGACCAGTTTCCAGTGCCGTGCAGAAGTATATTTTAAAATCATTTTCGAACTGCCCTTTTTTGATTTTTTCTTTACAAAATTGTATTTGTAAGAGTCCCTTTTTTTGGATAAGTTCTGAATCACCCTGTATAAAATAAAAATTTTAATCGCAAATAAATTGTTACCATCTCCAGCAAAGCCAACGGAACTTGCCAATAATTATTTACAGGTTTACATATTTCGGTCAACTCCGAGAAGGCAAAAGTGTTTTTTTGAGTATTTTCGCGCGCTGAATTCAAATCCGTAGCTCGTTTCCCGTCATCAGATTTCTTAGATACCTCATGTTGATAACATTGCGTTCTTACAACGACCAACAGCTGATCATGTAAATACCATGTCTGTTTTAATCGTACCCGAATCGTATATACTCCACTGGCTAACCCAACTCGTATGTTAGTTCTGCCTTTACACATCGAACTTGGCCTCATTAAAAATTTCGTAAAGGCCCTTGACCGTGATGGACAGGGTTTCCAGTATCTAATGAAACTGTTTCCCAAAATTTCCTACGTCAAAATCAAAGAAGATATTTTCGTCGGACCAGATATTAGAAGACTGTTGAATGACGACAACTTTGCCAAATGTTTATCGGTCAAGGAAGCAGCAGCATGGGGATCATTCAAAAGCGTTGTTCCAAACTTCCTTGGCAATAGGAAAAGTAACGACTACAAACGGATTGTTGCAAATCTATTGATGAATTACTGCAAAATGGGTGTCCGAATGTCGTTGAAAATCCATTTTCTCCATTCTCATCTGGATTTCTTCCCCGATAATTTGGGTGAAACTAGCGACGAGCAAGAAGAACGACTCATAGGTCAACATTTGATCTAAGAATAATCACCGGACCTGACCAGGGTACTTATGGGTTTTTTGGATCGCTGATTCCGAATCCGAGGTTGGCTAAGCTCCATCACGTCAGGTTCAGGGACATTTGAAGGTCAAATGGCCAAAAATGGTATAAAAAATCTGAAAAAATTCATACGTATGTTTCTGGGGTAGCCAAGTTCAAAGCCGCTGCTATTTTTACCATTCAAAGACATCTAAAGGTCGCATCAAGATCATTTTGAGGTCAAATCGAGAAATATGGTCTAAAAAATATGAGAGAATTTATACGTATGTTTTTGGAGAAGCTGAGTTAAAATCCGCTGTCAGTTTCACCCCTGAAGGACATCTGAAGGTCATATGAAGGTCATATCAAGGTCATTTGAAGGTGTAATCGAGAAAATCAGTCTAAAAAATCTGAAACAATCTATACGTATGTTTTTGGGCTAGCTAAGTTCAAAGCCGCTGGTATTTTCACCATTTAAGTACATCTAAAGGTCGTATCAAGGTCATGTCGAGGTCATTTGTAGGTCAAATCGAGAAAATCGGTTTAAAAATCTGGAAAAATGTATACGTATGTATACGACTCCTGACCGAATGAGGCGAAAACATAAAGGACAAATATTTCGAAAAACCTATAAGTACCCTGGTCAGGTCCGGTGATTATTCTTAGATCAAATGTTGATCTGTGTTACATCAAGATTTACAAAGGATTGAGAAAAACTGAAGAGGTTTTTGGGATGAGGGTATGTTGAGCATGAGCAATTATTTCTAGTATTTTATACGTGAAACGGACCCGAAAATATACAAACGACGCAGTTCCATCGCTTCACTTCTGATTTTTGGTATTTTACGAAATAAAGTAATGATTCTTCGTTAAAACACGTAAAACGGGCTTTTACATTTATCTAAGAAACCTGATCTGATTGCAAAAAACAGACTGCGGATTCGTAATCAGCGCCACCATATAAACTGCTTTCAGCTGCTTGCAGTAAACTTAAACAATTACAGCAGCAGCCTCATTGAACACCCAGAACTAAAAGCTACGATAACTGACAGATCCGGTGAATATCTGGCATAAATTTAACTCGCTGCAATATCGGCACTTCCAATTTACATGTAGTGCAAAATAAATTGTAGTCGTCCTGTTTATAATAGTTTCTGATTTGTATTGAAATGTTATATTACTTAAAATGTATATTGCTTAATTAATAAAAAAAATTAATAAGTTTCGAAAAAATGACAAATTATTTTGACATTTGTTTTATGTTCTAGAACGAAAGAGACTGGCGTTCTAGAACATAAAAGTATTTTGCAGCTAGGTGGCAAAAAAGAGTCACTTTGTCAACTGAAAATTTAACGAAAATGTCAACTTTTCAAGACAGTTTTCGAAAACATAATAATAACTTAATAATAATTTATTGTTGGAAAATGGTTTTACCGTGAAATTTGAAACCATCAACTATTTTATTTGTATGGTGCAGTTTCTCTTTAAAGGTTAAAGTAAAAAAAAATATTATATTTAAATATTCCTTATATATTTTACATTTTTACAAGTACCATTAAACACATTTCTTTTGTCATTGCGCTCTCCTAGGTCACACTCAAACGAATTTAAGGATGAGTTCCCTGGTAAATGCATTTAGTTAGTTCTAAAGCAGTATCTTCAGGAGAACTCTTTTCAACCGAACAGCTGTTTGTTAATTCTTCGATTTTAGCTTCATCCGTGATTAATTTGCCGAGCTTCTCTTTCATCGCATCCTTCTGGATTTCGCCTGAATCGTTCAGAATTCCTAGCCTCTTATTCATACAAAATAGGTACTGCTTCAAAACGGGATCGTCAGAGAAATTGCCGGCCAGGACTCCGCTAGCAAGGCTATCATCTATGTTGGTTTCAGCTTTACATTCCTTGTGGTGGTTCATGATGACTTGAATTTGTGTGGTCGATAACTCCTAAAAAAGGAAAAATAATGTATTTAGTAGATAAATGTGATTCGATTTATTTAAAATTGAAAAATAGTGCCTTAAACATCCGATATGATTCAAATGTGTCGGTAAATTTCCATTCTTTACGTATACGTCGAGGAATCATGAATAACATGTAGCTTGAAGGAACTGACAACTTTATAGAACAGCTGGTAAAAGTGAATTATTTAAATAGTAATTAAGTATAAATTTAAAAACCGTTCAATAGTTGTAAAGCAAAGCTTTTCATTTTAACGAGGAAGGCAGTGAATAAAGAGGAAATAATGTTAATTTAATTTGAGTAAGCTAAAACGATATCGGTTATAACAACAATTCGTCGTATCTTAGCAAGAGACATCAATACTTAATACATAATAGTTCTAGATCAACTTGTCCCGCTCTCAGTACAAGAGTAACACATGAACATGTGCTTGGACATGTACTATCCTTAATTTATGATAACCATTTAAGCTTTTTAGGTGATTTGTTATTAACTAATCAGTTTGATGACGAAACATATTACTTGAGAACAATTTCTATAAAGTGTCTTAACTGACAAAACCAAACTGACCAGTAAATTTTCAAAAACGTTCTTATTTTGTATACACAAAATATTGCTCATGATTAGGCGATTCTGAAAATTTCAACTCAATCCATTGAGTAGTTTTCAAACTACATGATTTTTAAAATGCGAATATTTGTCTCAGCCATGGCAATGCAATGACGTCACCGCATGGGACGGTCAGCCGGCTTGGCGCTACTTTCAGATGAGTTTCTGCATATACAGAATGTTTTAGCATTTGTGCAATTTCAAAAATTGAACCAGATTTCGAAAAAGCAGATTCTTCTAATTTGTCAGAAGTAGGTTTGTTGATGGTTATGGATTTTTTGAGAAAAACCACGACTTTATCAGTGTTGAGATGAGAGAAGTGCAAAGGTATGTTTTAATAACGTGTAAAGCTTCTATGAAGTACGTTTGTAGCGAAAGTTTTGATGTTTTTGTACAATAAGAATAGTAAATAAGAAAAGGATTTTGCGTTTAATTGGACGAAACCGTTTCTGTCACAGGTTTCAAAGATTTACCTAATCAAATACAATATTCTCATTACTATTTTTTCCCATGGAAACTACGTAAAATCTACCTAATATCTTATAAATATATTAATAATATAATATCTATTTTTAATATGTATTTTTATAAGAATACTTAGTACCTATAGGTATTTGTATAATATTCACAAAAAAAATTACGCAGGGTAGTTTTGTTGTCATTTTTCAAATAGAAGATATTTAAAAAAAACAAATCAAAGTAGACTAATAGACTATTGATTTTAGATCCGCACGACAGAATTACGGTGATATTATTATTTTCTTAGGCGTCTTCACACTAGTGCTCTCGCACTGGAGAACAATACAATATTTTATGATTTTCAGTTTATGATTTTCTTTTTTATGACTTGTAGGCGATATAAAATTCTAATTTTTTGCAGAGAACCTTAAAATTGCAATATCTTTTCGTTAAGCAAATAAAAAAATTGCTGTATGCGCCCATTGGTTTTTCTCGAATCAGTGAAACTTGAATAGAGAGACAGAAACTATAATATTTAGCTTAATAAGTGACATTAGTTTGACAACAAATCCTGAGAATCCTGTGTTTACAGGGTGTTTCCTAAATACGGTCCGTATTTCAACAAAGAAAGTTCCAATAAACATGTGACCGAAAACACTTAGATTCCGAGATACAGGGTGTTGAAAATTAAAAAAAAATATTTGAAATATATTTCGAACGGTCAATGTTAGGTTCTTATAATTTGGCAGTTATTGTACGTTGGTAAAGAGCTGCATTTTTAGTATAAAGCCAATTTTTATCTACCACTAGTGGCGTAGTTGCACGTCAGTCGACGTTTTCTTCATAAAATGTAGAACGCCAAAATTTTTATTATTTTGGGACTCGCCTAACATTTTACAAGAAAAAAAAAACGTCTTGAATCTAATACTAATCTATTTCACTAGAAATAGAAATAAGTCTGAAAATTCATATCTCAAGCTGCATAAATCAAGGAATTGAACTAGATATCGAAGTACTGAATTTTATAATGGAATAACCTCAAAAAACAAAACATTTACCTCTAAAATGCTTTAGGCCTAAAGATATACAGTTTCTATTAAATTAAACCATATAGCATAGATGAATTTTTAAATAGTAATATATATATATATA